CCTAAATATCAGAAAGCCCACCATCAAGGCTCTTCATTCCTAAGCCAGGCTCCAGAGTCGTTGGTTTGTCAACGCATTCACGGACCCACAGAAAAAAAGAACAAAAGCCAAGGAACAAATTGGTGATGGTTCGGATTGGGTCGCCTGGATGATCGATCAACGACTCCTCTGCCTTGGAGTGTTTCGCTTCACCAAACATCGAAAAGTGCAGCGACATGTTGCCTCTTTTTGATCCTTTTTGCTGGCCAGAAGCCTCGTCAGCATCTGAAATGTCATCGTCGCCGACGTCCTCTACTCCACTATACTCCACTCTTGCGTGGACCATCTCACACAACCGATGACACATTCTGCACATCTGGCTTTCGTGCCTGCATGAAGTCGTGATTCAACGCCTGCTCTACGGAGGGTCGAAGGGATGGTTCTCGAATCAGCCTTGCACCGGGCTTGAATCATCACGCTGAAGACCACACAGTGCAGTACTGTGTCATGCCCAGCGACAAGAAGCGGCAGAACGTCTCGGCACCTCGTCGATTGCAGCAGAACTCTGTTGGTCCGGGAACTCCCGTAACGCAAGTGGGGCCCTGTGCCCCGGTTTGTCGGATCCGGTCTGGCTTCCCCGTGCATCAGGCTTGGGTACTCTTAAGGTCCAGCCTTTGCTTGGCTGGTTGTAGTGCTTTGCCAGCTTCTCGTTCCTGGCCTTGGTGCGAATGGATTTGTTCTGGCATTGTACAGGCCAAGGCCTACGGGACAGCACGTATGGGGGATGCAGCATGAAACACGAAGAAGCTTTGGGGCTCGGATATACAAGGAAAACCAACATCCCCAGCTGCATGCAAAGCGCATCAACCCAGAAGTCCGGACATGATTGCACCTTGCAATCTGTGTAAAGCAAACCAAAAGATGTGACGACCCAAGCTGCCCAAGTAGGTGGCGGCTGTGCGAGGAGAATCGCCTCTTGGGATGTGAGAGCTGGGTCTGCCACGGTCTCCCGCACTACTGGCTGTCGAGAGGTTTGACGACTTGAACCGCATGCGCAGTAAGATGATCCGTCACCCATTCAAATTTTTGCAGACTAAGAAGTCATGCAGGCCTTCTTCACTGCCGGAGCCGACGGCTGCGAGGGTGAGTAAGGCACGTCGCCATACAAGATCACATACCTCGGCCAGGTAACCTTTGGATCTACAAACTGTCTTCGCAGAGGGACGGTGCACGTCGAAACACGTGCGTGAGAAGCTACACGAGGTAACAAGCTTCAGTGCACAATTGAAAGCGTGATGCGTTCAGTTCCCCAAGAGTCTACAGGGCGATGGTCGATGGTTCAGCCCGGCCGAGGGCACATTAAGTTCCATCATGCCCCATGCGCTCAATGCATTCATTCAGCTCTGTTCCGGTTAACTCGAGGGAACAGTTCGGAAGCTTCGGAACATATCCAACTTGTGTGTCTTTGTGGCAACTGGTAAACAAGGTCTGCGCGGTGGATCTGCTACCAATTATGAACCAAGGTGCGCTGTGGAGGCGAAGGACCAAACATCCGTCTTGGTGTCGTACACCCTTCTGCCCAGCATCTCTGGCGACATGTATGGTGCTGTTCCCGACACGCCTCTGCAGGTGCAAGTTCAATTCCCGTGCTTAAGCATACAACGCCAAAGCGGGTGCAAGTTTGTAACTATTCAGGCGCAGGAAAACTCGGGGATTCGCAAGTGTCCAACTTTCTTCATCACACCCCAAACGGAATTGAATGTAATCATCACTTTCAACCACACCAAAGCTTTGGGAATCCCTATCTGTGCTTAGCCCCCGGAAGGGGCCGAAAGATCTTAGCATCTAGGAACTCAACGAGAGTGGGCCATGCTCTGCCCAGTTGACTACAAGGGCGCCTGCGGATCTCAGAAACTGTAGTTACACTAAGGGCATGGATTCCGAGTGAACCCCCGACTCCAGTCGCAACGGCTCCTGAGAACTGAGAAAGTTGCGGCTAGACGCTCGCATTCACAGCATGTCTAACAGTCTAACAACTGCATCTGCTTGGCCTTGCGCTTGGTGTCTGGATGCTGATTCCCCCGGTCTGAGTCTTGACCCTCCGAGCTTGAGGCCAAAATTTGCCATAACTTAACTGAAGACGCTAGTCACCCCCCGCCACCGCAAGTCGCGAGCCATCGCTAGTCGAAGCCGAAGTCTCGGGAACAAGCCCTCCAAAGAGGCAGCGGTGCCTTTGATGCCCCCTCGTCCTTTTGGCATTCTCACCGCCAGGCCGAAGTCCGAGAGCTTGATCGTGCGACACCTGTGAACAGGAGTGCTAAAGTGCTTGATGTAATCAAAAGGACCATCCAAATGATTCTCTTTCGTTCTGCTCCTCGTGTTGGTATGCTCATTCCTGAGCAAGGGCGCGGCGGATGCCGTCGCTCTGAGCAACTAGTTGGCAAGTTGACTCTTCTTTGTTTGCCTTCCCCCTGAAAGTTGATGCTTCATTGTTTGCCTTCCCCTTGGCCCTCTGCTTGCGCAATCATGCGCTAACAGGCCTTAGGAGGCAAATTGGAATACCTGCATTAGCAAGCTCGGAAGCTCTACAGGTCTCTCATGCTGGGGCGTTTGGTTCCAAGTCCACGCTGCCACGAGCACGGCAACAGAGTGCGACAAGTGATGCTGCCACCGCGGCCGCCTCTCGCCCCCATACAGGAAGTTGTCCAGCTTGACGTCTCCTCGGCATTTCTGGCAGGAAGCACATAAGATCAAACCATGCGACGTGCAGCGCTTCCACAAAACTACTATGAGTGACACGCACGACACGCGGACATGAGTGGGCCCTTGGGCCCTTGGCAGCCGAAGCACGGTGAACAATCTGGGCTGCATGACAGGCGCCGATGCCAAGCAGCATCTGGCCTGCACCATGCTTGTAAAGGGTCTTGGCACCGGGGCCTTCCACAGGCCATTAGAGAACCGATTCTTTGTTAAAGTGATGCCGTCTTACAAAAAAAAGTGTTGGCAAGATTGGTCCCAGAATCGAAACATTCGCCGGAGATTGGTCTCCGTGAGCTTCGGCATGTCGCACAAGCTGTCCATTAGTGAGCCATGGCACCTTGTCCGCGTCAGCTTATTGCAGTTTGCCCTTACATGGGGAGTTCCATGCAGTGCAAACATGATGAAGGCATCTTGAGTTGTCCCGAAGCCTTTCCATAATCATGTAGAACAGGCCAGGCGTTTCCAGGTATGTCTCGTACCTCAGATGGACGAGATGTAGATATGGTCGGGGTCGGGGTTGCGGTTGCCGCATCCCGTCACATCCGTTAAGGGAGCAGCCTATCCTGGCGAACCCGCTTGATTTCAACCGAGCCTGGAGGAACCGATAACCCCGCATAGAACCACAGGTTACCTCAAAGATCCTCAATGGTCCAAGGCCAAATGCCGAATAATGCCGGCAGAAGGCAAAGCCACAACATGCAGGTGACCCGAGACTCGGCCCAACAGCTGTGACTCCGTCCGTGCCTCCCTGCGACAGGCTGGCTTTGCATGTGCCATATGGGGGATTTTGCCCCACTCTCAATCCAAGCTTTGGGAATCTGGAGTCTTGACGTTCAGAAGCTCTCTGCCCTAACTCCGCGGCAAGACAACATACTGTGCTCAAGCAGCAGCAGCAGCAGCAGCAGCAGTACTGTACTGCCCGAGGGTGGAAGAACACCGATAGAAACACATGCGGTCAGTTCGGGCAAACAGCTGGAATTAGAAGCTGCGTGAGCTCGAAAAGGTCCGGGCTTCAGAATTTGCACGTCCATCGTCGAGTCCTCGGCTCATCAAAATGGGTCAGATGTGGAAGCAAGCTTGCACGAGATCTCCACCACATAACCTTCAGTCTAAACAACTGCTTATGGCAATACTGGGGCTCATCCCCAGACCGGCGCACATCCATGATCTTCACGGCGTACGTCTCCCCGGTGGTGATCCTGCCCAGCGGCCCAGCGGCCCAGCGGCTGACTCTGCAACTCGCAACTCGTCCCCACTGCGACAACTTGACACAGCCGCGCCGGGTAGTGAGGCGAACTTGTCCAAAGGCACCCTCGCCAAGCTTCCTCCCCAGCTTGAAATTCTGGAAAAACCTCAGAATGAATCTCAGCGCAGGTGACAACTTTCGGGAGAAACGTGCCATTGTTCGTGTCTGAATCTCGTAGGTCGGAAATCTGACGCTGAGCTGTCAAATTCTGTCAAAGTGCGAGTTGTCTTGCAAGGAGACACGTACCGAGCCGTACTGGGCTTCGGGCTGTCCTGTAGTGGGTTCCAAGTCCAAAGGCTCAACAGCCTGGCACCAAGCACTCAAAGCAGTGATCATGTACTCGCATCGCAAACACAACAAACCTAAAGTCACGTCCTGAAATGTCCGCGGCCTGCGCAGTATGTTGGGCCAAAAATAAACTCACGCTGACACCAAAACCCCAAACCAGTCAATAGTCAATGCAGCCGCAGGCACGGCCGAAAGGGAGCAGCCACATCCCATGGCTTTCAGGCCCGGGCCTGGGATGCCATGTGATGCCATGTCAACACTGACCACAGCCTCAACCCTGAGCGCTTGTCAGCGGCTCCTTGCGACAGATCACTTCTTGCAGGCAACAAAGCCATGGCTAAACCCATATACAACATTATACAACTACGAGGCGACGCGGCCTGCTCAAGTCTGTTTGCACGCAAAGTCTCCGCTCAGAGCCTTCCCGGTGAAACTGCACGAATCGAACTATGCTGCAAGTCAAACGCTCGAGTTCAATGAGCATGCATAATATGCAGATTCAGCGCGTGGTCTCGGTCGCAGCTGCAGTTCGGTGAGTCTGCGTAAACCTCGAGCACCCCCCCCACCACAAGCAAGGTGGCATGTAGGATGTCGAAATCGCCACGCTGCTCCGCCTGCTCCGCTGCGTAGGGTCCAGGAAGCGCAGGAATGCGCAGGCTTGAGTCATTTCGTGCAGCTCTAAGACCTCTAACATGGCCTGCGCTTGCCGATACTGGGTGGCACATGATCATTGCCAGTCATCAGGCGTGTCCTCCCAGCCAGTCTTCCGCATCTGCAGCAGGACAAAAATCTGATATTCGACTCGCTTGCTGGCTGGTTTCCCGAGGTGTTGGTACTTTATGTTGATCTCGATCAGCCTGGACGACAGACTGTCCAACAATGCTTCCCCGCGAGCGTTATCTTCCAGCTTGGGGCCGACGACGCAGAACAGCTCACAAACACATTCGATCCGATGCTCTTCTGGCCAGGGCCGAGGGTCGCCATCCAAGCCAATGAGCTCTTCGACAACGCGGCTTAAGACCTTTAAAGCCAGGAGATGTCTCAAAAAAAGGTGGCCCATAAACAACATGAGAGCCCGCATCCTCTCCCTCCTCCGTCTCATCTCAAGTTCCAGCAGAGGTTCGGGTAGGTTCCTGTGATCTGCAGGGCTGGGCTCCAGGGTCGCCAGCAAATCTTCAAATTCGGCCTGGACCGAGTTGAGCAAAAGCCGCCCGAAGTTTCGAGGCTTGGCATCTTCACCTTCGGCTGGGAACACCCGGCACCTGCTCCAAAGCCCATAGACGAGTTCTGCATACAACTCGCCTAAGATTGCAGAGAAGCCAAAGAAGGTTTGAGAAAACAACATGTGACCGAAGCAGACAGCCCTCAGCGTAGGTTTCCACAGCAATCCTTGCCATCTAGCACTAGACTAGCAAACGGAAAAACAGTAGCACTATCAAAGGTTGCGGTGGCTGAAGTAGGGCTCGGCCAGCACCTTGGAGATCACGAGCGTGGCTACGCGGAGCAGCTCGTCAGCGCTTTGCACCTGCAAGCACGTGAGCATATGTCGGAAGCTACGACCACGGAATGACCCCCGCGGCATGTGTGTCATTGGGTATCCTTGCGTTGTGTCGTCACGCTTGAAGCTCGCAGGCTCTCGTCGAAGCCTCCAGCTGCGCCAAGCAATTCACCACCGCCCCAGCATTCTCCCAGCACAGCTTGTTGAGCTGGCTGCGCCTGAAAGTACGGTATGGTCTGACCACTGCAGCAAATCGGGGACAATCTCGAAAATGAGCCCCTTGCTGTAAAGTGGAATGCGATGCCAGATTGAGTTTGGAAGTGCTCAGCTCACTTGTTATGCCCAGATAACTCACCAGTATTTTTTGCCCCGTCACCTACTTTACAACCCATGTTTATCGTGAGCTATGACTTGAAGCGTTGAAGATGGGTGGTGTTGGAGCTTGAGGCTCGAGTCCATTGGCAGGAGGCTACACTGATGCTGGGTTTGCGATTCGTGCTGAAACGAGGGCCAAGAGCATACGTATATATATATATATATATATGAATCGAAGGCGGTGCTGCAACCAAAAGGTGTTGATTCACAAAGGGAGTTATGACACGTCTGACCCATAGCACATACACGCATGTGTCAAACCGACTTGTAGCGTGGAGGTTTCAAAACAGTGTGGCAGTGTCCAAGCGGCACTACCATTGAAATTCTTCGAGGCCTAAACTAGGACCTCCCTTCAGGTAACTCGGTATCACTCCAGGGTCAGGCTATGCCTGCTGCAAGACTTCGAAAGTCAATGGCCAATTGTTCTGCTGAGCCGCACGGCTTTTTCAAGTTGCTCCAAACATGCCATCCTGAAGCTAGATCTGTAACCTGTGATCTTGAGCCAGAAGCGCAGAGTGCCAACACCTCAACACGAAAGCTTGGCTAAAATTAACCGTGTCTGACATGGCTGATCCGGAGTAGAGGATGCCAAACAAACCGTGCCTGCGCACACGATGTGCATGTTACAAAGGCCCCAGCCGCTTGGCCCTCACACGCCCCAGCATTTTCCTATACTCATCAGCACGCTTCTTGCGAGCCGAGATGGCCTGCAGAGCAGATTAGCGTTTGATGCAATTGGATCGGGGTTGGATTGGGGATCGGATCACCACGAAGGGCATGTGCACGAAAAGGGCTCTGTACGTCCCTTCAAGCACTGAGAGATGAAACCAAACTAGGCCAGGTCCGCAAACCTTTTCTGCCTTGGCTCGCTCTGTCATCTTCAGGCCTACTGGATTCCAGTGCTGATGCAAGGACATCCATTGCAGCTTCGCCCGCCTGCCAAAGTGGCATGACCACGCTACATGCAAAACTTGCAGACCACATGTTGGTAGCACTGCTGCGAGAACAGCCGAGCTGCCCCCAACTCTCGGCAGAGCGTCATGCAGTGGGGCGCACCCACCGCTCGCATCATAGTTCCTCGGCATGACACCATTACATTCTTCATGCACCCCGCACGACGGAGGGAGGGAGGGAGGGAGGGGCTACACCCCACCACAGCCCAGGGAACTAGGGAGGGAATTAGGGAGGGAATTAGGGAGGGTGTCTAGGGTTACTGGATTTAGCCAAAAGATGCCACAATCAAGCATGAAAGCTCGACCAAAGGGCGGATGAGTTTTGCATCGGGTTCTAGCCCGGAGCCTAATGCCTGGCGCACAAAGTCCTCGGCCTGCGAGCGGCGCCTTGAGGAAACCCAGGGAACTTCTGCAAATGTCCGCAAGTTGCCAGCCCATTGCAAGCTTCCGCGCCTGGGTTGGCTCTTGGCACATGCCTCGATGGCCGAAGTCCAGGTGATCAGGTTCGGGGTCACAGCCAAGCCCTGCATCTCCTGCACGCAATCTAAACGGAGGCTCCTTTCCGGCCGCATGCGGTTTTTAGACTTGCCGAAAATGCCGCGGCAACAAAGCAAGAGCAAGCCACAAGTTACGTCAAACAATCAACTCCGGCGTCCTTCAGGAGTGGCCCAACACCGTCAACTTGTGCACTGCGGGCGAAGGCCTGCAGGAACAAGCACGCCACGCATGGAATCATGGTGCTCTTATTAAGATGACTGGATTGACTGAGATTGAACTCCACAGCATGCAGAGGCAACACATCCCACTCGCTGGGTTGCAAGTACACGCAGCAGTTCAGCATTGCCGAAGCTCATTCATGCCAACCTGATGACTACAAGGTGAAAATGATCTCTTTCACGCCGCCGTGATCTCCTGATCTGCTGGCCTTGAGCACGGCCGAGTAGGCAACTACGTTTGGCTGCAAAGTTTGCACCTGGGAGAGAGGCAAGTACCACCTTCCATTACGGCCTGCCTTTGCCTGATCAATCTAGCTAGCACATACCTGCCAGTCTCGCTACTTCTCTGTGGTGCTTTTGCATGGTCAGAAACTCTGAAACTTGACGTTCGGCAAAACTAGACAGTGACTTCAGCCGAAGATCGCTCATTTGTCGAAGCCACGTCAATGCTCCATTTGCATCACTTCGCTTTGCATAGGCATTGATCAGAGCGGTGCAGGCTACGTAGTCCACCTGCATTCGGGCACAGCCGTCATGCAATACATCGAACCAAGCCGAATGCGCCCAACAGTCGCAACTTGATTTCAATTGAACTCGACATTCTCTTTTGATTAAGTGGAGTTGACATCCTGCCTGTTGGCCCGATCTCTGCATTTGCTCTAGCCATGCCGTCCTAGATCACCCAGCGGCACTCCAGTTACTTGAAACCGAAAATGCGTCGCGCAACCCAGAGAAGGCGCGCACACACACACACACACACAGACAGAGACAGACACAGAGAGAGAGAGAGAGAGAGAAATGAGAGACAAGGGCGACGCCATGAGACCAACCGGACCAGAAGCTGCCGAGCATCGCTTCCTCGATGGCCCCCTTTTTGGCGCAGGCATGGATTATCGCCTCTGGCTTCCAGCAGATGCTCCGGCTCAAGAATCTCAAGAGCCCCTATAAGACTCTGGACGAAGAAGCCCCCCAACTCGCCCTAGGCCCTCCCTGCCCACCGTGTAGGTCACGACGTCGGCATCAAGGCCTCGCCGCTGCATCTCCACGAGAAACTGTGTGGCACCTTGCCGCCGTCGGTGATCAAAAGCTATGGACAACGGAGGTCCAACCGCCTACTACGAGTGTCAGTATGCACCAATTCAGCCATGAAGTCGTGCAGCAATGCAACCTGGGACATCACCCAGCTTTGCACAGCACTTGATGAGCGAGGTAAACGTGATGGTGTCCGGAGATATGCCTGCATAGAGCCAGGCAATGATTGAACTTGACTGCTTCAAACAAATGGGAACTACAACTGCGGTCCATCCTTGTAGACTGACCGGATACATGAATGTAGGAGAGCGCTTTGGGTGTTCTCAAAAACACTAAACCCGACATGTCTCGCCGCAGTCACTCGATCAAGTGTAGTGAGCGCACTGCGTGAGTCAAAAATGCCTGATGCCTAGCAAAGCCTTTAGCTGACAACGGACAAGAACAATTCGAACAAATGATCTGGGAGTGAAGGTTAGCTGGGGGAGCTGGAAGTCCATGCTGGCATGGCCAGACTCCCATGTCCATGCTGCACGCCTGCTGCGTCCATTTGCTTGAGCCACCTTTCCGCCCCGTTGCGGTCACCACGCTTGGCATAGGCATCGATCCTTGGCACTCCAGGGCATACAAATCAAGGCCGTCCAATGCATAGCCCCAAAGATTCATGATGCCCGCACCATGCCTTGCGATGCGAGCTATGCAGCAAACTCTCAGCCATGGCAGCCTTTTATTCTGTCTACAGCAGTCCAGCAGATTTCATGGGGATCAGCACCACTCGTGAGCTTTTGCAACGATTGAACCATTTAGCTGATTACCACTTTCAAAAGATGCTATGCAGGAGGCGTGAACCCCACGAATGAAAAGAATGAGATCAAGGCCGGAATGCATCGGGCTCGATACTGCGCAAAAAGGGCTTAGCCCTGCGAATCGGCAGCGTTTAGGGCCACCTCAAAGACCGATGTCCAGAATCATGGCCACGCCCGCGAGCACCCACTTGTCAGATGGCGCCTGGGCAATGCGGAACCCGATACACAACATCGGAGGGCGTTCACCCATCTGGAAAACACTCATCCAGCACAGTAGCAGCAGTCAAAGCAGCAGGAATAAACAATAATCACCATAATAAGAAAATAATAATAATAATAATAACAATAACAATAACAAAGGACGGCCCTACACAAAGAGCACTCGTTGTGCCTTGGTCCGAAGCTGTGCAGCGAACACGAAGTACGGCCGGCGAGTGGGCACGCAATAGGTAGGGCATATGTAGATGTTCTTGTCCACCTTCTCGCTCGCCAGTCCTCAACAGGCAGGGACTTTGGGCTGCAGCGACAGGCAGCTTTGAAGACCTTCCCAAACAAATTTCGGGCTCCAAATCGCCGCTTTTCTTCTGGGTCAGGCACGACAAACACCCAATTGTTGCTGCCGGAACACCTGCCTTGCATGTAATCACTGGCATACCAGTGAACATTTCCTTCGGCTTGGAGTCTTCCAAGGAATTGGAGGTCATGTCCCACCGGGCACCCTCCAAGTACATGCCCGACCTTGTTGCTGAAAGAATGCGAAAGAAAAAAAGAACATCGACCAAGCAGAGAAGGCAGGCGTAAGCTGACGGACCAAGAAAGCCTCTCTCAGGCGCGTGGCACATAGGCTCCGTCCTTGCAAGGGGACTCAATTTGCTTGGGCTCCTTCTTCGTGACGTCTGTGAAGACCTGAGTGTGGGAGGGTCGGTCCCCCATACGTTGAAGCCAGGTCTGCAACCAATGTCGGCAACTAAGCCTTTCCGACGAAGCTTTCAAAAACTTTTGGCATTCGGAATGGTTTCTGTTTAACGCATGGCAAAGGCACCTGCAGCTTGTCGAGCTCCAAGCCCACGTTCTGGCAAGTGATCTGCTTGATGGCCGTGAGGTAACTCTGCGGATTGAAGAGCTTGGAGATGTCAACAACCTAATCTGATGTGATGCTGGGGGAAGCCAGGGGAAAACCCAACCGCATCGAATTCCATTTTTGTATCTTCCCCGCAACGTGCCTTGGGAATGTTGAGGGGGTCGTTGATCCAGTCGTCCAGCTGCACATATCGCTCCTGCCATGTAAACTTGAACAGACCTTTGCGAGTCTTACCTTCCCTTCTTCGGCACACTTCGTTGCATGGCCTCGTCTGGCGGAACTCCCAAGTTTCAAGGCCCCGAACCTGCCCCCTGAACCCCAATGCAAGGCCATGGCCTGCAAGTTCACGCGCCATGACTTCAGAGGACGGGTGGACGCGAATCCGAGCTTAATCCACCACATCGGCAGCCTCGAATTGTGGCTGGAGTTTGGCTGGCAATGCTGGCAAACAGGATGGCCATACTCCGGGTTGTCATGCTTACCGGCCTACACTGTGCAGAATCTTGCAGAAGTCTTGCAGACTTGGGGTCCATCTCTTCAAGCTGGGTGCGTCCGGGCTGCTTCTCTGAATAGAGGCACGTGGCCATATCTTCCATGCCTTGGGCATTCCGGAATACGCGGGAATGCGCAAGACAACTGTGCCGGCAACCTCAAGCTGGCCCATACAATGCTACGCACTGCCACAGGTAGGCCAACCCAACCCCAGCGCAAACGTAAACTGAACTGAACTGCAAGCCTGTCAAGACTAGGTACTTTCGCTCATGGTCAGCTCGCCCCGGAAACCAAGCTGGAGCTCCTGTAGTTCTAGCGACTTTTTAAGGGGATGCAGATTGACACGTGATTGACATGTGTAAGAATGGCGCAAGACTTGGGCCTGCAAGCCCTTCACCATCTCGTACAGCAGCGCATTCATGTACTCACACTCCTGCAAGAAAACGAACTGGTAGGGACCCTTATCCTCGGTGGTCATGCCACGGTTGACATCGTCTGTTGGGAAGCGCTTTTCGTTCACCTCTTCCAAGATCTCATCGCATGTCATCTGGGCAATCGTCATCGGTGTCATGGCAGCTTCGTCGTCACCATCTCCAGCGCCACCTCCACCTGTCAGCATCTGGAGCATCTCGAAGACCTTGTCGCACTCTGTGGTGCGGAAGTTGATCTCAGCGTTGGGATGCATGCCAAACATGAGTGGAGATTCAGGCGGCATGGTCTCAATGTGCTCAAGGTATCTCTCATGCGGCGCCGGCTGTGGCGACGGCCACGACAGCTTGCCCTCCGCATACGGGATCATGTCAATCTCATCCAGCAACTCATCGCGCATGAAGTACAGCAAGTACTTTTGCGACATGCGTCGGTCCCAATCGTCCACGATGTGGCCTCCATACATGATCTCCCCGAAGATGTAGCGCAAGTCGTCCCATGGAATCTTCACAGCGGAAGAACCTTCCAAGTAGTTGTACAAGACTTGGGCAGAGTCCCGCAAGTCTCCAGCTGAGAACGGATACATCATGTTGTAGCCCATCGGCCCAAACTTCTTTCGCTCTAGCATGAGGGAGTGGAAGTGGCACAAGGCAAACAAGATAGACTTGACCTTGGCATCCTTGTCCTCGAAGTCCTCCTTCGGGAAGAGTGCGAAAGATCGACGCAGATTGGCAAGCATACCCTGTGGAGGCTCGTTTGTCAGCTTGATGGAACGCTCCAGGATGCCGATCGGAATTCCTTTGCTTGGATCTGCGGAGAGGAACAATCTGAAGTTGGGATGGCTGTTCTCCACAGCAAAGACATCCAGTTTCTTCTCCAGCTCCACACACCACTTTGGCATCAAGTGAATATTCTGTAACATGACCCAGTGCCCCTCACGGTGTCCTATGTCCAACTTGCCCATGGCAACGACATCCTGTCCTTGACCCATGGCCACGTTCCAATAGTTCTGCCCAAGGCTCAAGCCTTCTGGCCGCTTCTTGCCCATCGACTCAACCTCCTTCACCGGGTCTGCTCCAGGAGATAGGATGAAGAAAATCGGGGTTGTGCTGGTGGAATCCTCAAAGGAGTTGCTCAAGACTGCTGCGAAGGAGAGTGAGCCATCGCAGTCCATGTAGTCCCGACCATTGGGCAGCGCGTTGCGGATCCACTCAGCCATGGCAGCGCAGCATCGGTCTGGTCTCAGGGCTCTGAGAACCAAAAGCTTCTGGAAGGGCACTGTGTCCAGGCGCTTCCAGTCCAATGGCAACTTCACCTCCTCGGGAGCAATCTCGTTGAACCATTCCTTGAAGCGGTTTGGTGCATCCTTCTCCATGTTTTGTGCGAAGTTCTCGAAGCCCTCCAAGTCATTCAACTTCAGAACCATGCCCCAGTTCTTGCTGGGCAGCCATTCCTGCAGTGGGTTTTCCATTCCCACGGCCATGGGTGCCTTGAGCAAGTAGTTGAAGTAGGACACGTTGAAGTCTTCCTGCAAGAAGCCTTTCTGGAAAAGCTTGAAGGTGAGCATCGAGCAGAAGATCAGTTTGTGACGTTCGAACAGTCCGCGGTTCACCCAGCGGAAGATTGTCATGCGGATAACGGCAATCAGGCGCTTCACACGTTCACTGATGTCGTCAGTGGGCTCCGTGCGGTCGATGGCCTTGTACAGGAAGTTCACGAAGGAGTCCAATGAGAACTGGTACATGTGCTCAATGAAGCAGAGCTGGATGATCAGGAAGAAAAGCATGGAACCCTCCGCGGCCACGGGACGGTAAAGCTCGCGCGAATGGTTGATCTCCACCTCTGTCTTCTGAGCCTGCTCAACTTGGATGGCAATCTCCTTGGAGGTGGCCTTTGTCTTCTCCAGGCCCTCGATAAGGGGAATGTTGTCCAGAATTGTCGCAGGATCTGCCGTAGAGAGCTGGGACAACAAGTCGCTCTCGAGCTGCGAAAGGGTGACCTTGAAGTCGTTCTGCCTTCGCACCAGCTCCTGCTTCTCCTGCTCCAGCTCAGGCTTCTCCACATTCACGACCATTGCCAGGATTTGGTCCTCCAATCCGTCCGGAGTGACAATGAAGTTGATGATTGTACACTGGGCAGCAATCTCAGGCCTGTAGTGAGGATTTGGCAGCTTCGACTGCAAGTAAAGCTGGAACTTGGGGTCATAGTCTACCTCCTCACCTCCAATCTTGATGATCATTGCACTTCGGCCACGCTTGATCACAGCTCTGGACAGGACAGGCTCCAAGATGGCATCAATCTCCTGGCCGACGGCTTCAATCAGCAGCTGGCCACCCATCTGAATGGCAAAGATCACTTTTTGAAGCCACTGGTTCATGGTGAACTGCAGCACAGTCAGATCCTCGCCCAAGCGTTGCTTGATCCACTTCACACCTTGCAGCTGGGGGTCGATCATCAACGGCCATCGGGAGCAGCTTGTGACCACAGCAGCGTTCTCCACAGAGATGCGGTCAGACGGCAGCCCCTCATTCTGCCAGCTGGCGATGTCTGCCTCGGTACACAGCACCTTGAGCGGGTCAATGCCCGAGCTGATGGGAATCCCGCGGCTGGTGATGTCGCCAGTCCACCCCTCTCTCCAAAGCTGCACACGGAAGGACATTGAAAAGGGGGAGATGTAGCCAACAAATGCTGACGCCAGCAGACAGTTGCCAATGAGCTTCAGCTGCAAGTCTTTCAGGTCCTGAAGCAGAACGAGTTGGAGGCAACGGAGTGTGGGCTGAGAACGCCATTTTGGAGTGTCGCAGGCACAAATGGAAGAGACACAGAGAAGACTAAAGCAGGAGAACATCATGGGGTCCTAAGCCTCCGCAACATACAAAACCTGTGTGCTTACTTTAAAAATTTTGTCCCACTCACGAGAGTTCTTCAGTTCGCAAATGAGAGCTGCTTGCTCTCTGAAGACCTTGCTCTCTCGTGAACTGCCCTCACCACAACAACCAACCCGGCATGGTCGGTCTCATTGCCCAAACTTCAGAAGTATCCTGGACAGTGGTAAGGGCTCCAGAGGTTCTGGCCACCCTCCGAACACAAGGTACCCTAGCCTCCCCTAAAGGTGCGACCATCCCTACATGAACAAAGAGGAGGCTTGGAAACCTACGATTTTCAGACTGCACGCCGGCTTGCTTCCATACGCCTGTACCCTGTCCAGCCTGTCCTTGACTGTGGCAGTCCATCGCTGATACTCATCTGCCAAGCCGTTGACCAGCCGCTCTGCGAGACCCAACTTCTCGAGGCAAGCCTCGGCTACACTGACCGCGGCGACTCGTGAAGATGTCTGGAACAGACATGAACAGACATCATCTACCGTGGCATGCAGACATGGCAGAAAGCAGAGGAGTTTGGCAACTTTCAAGGTGCAGCGGCTTGGCCCAACTCTCAGCAGCACATGTATGCAACGCGTCTTGCTGTGGCGAACTGTGGCTGGTGGGTTGACGTCGTCGTCGTCGTCGTCGTCGTCGCCGTCGCCGTCGCCGTCGCCGTCACTGTCGCTGTCGCTGCCGCTGTTTCTGTTGCTGCCCGCTGCTATCCCAACCCCTCGCGTGCACAACAGGCATCATCACAAGAGCGTCTTCGTGCCTTCCTTTCAGGACATTGTACCCCGGCGGTGGGGAGCTTGGTTGCATTTCTGAAAGCATTGATCAGGCAATCTTTCACTGAGGACCGATGGTAATGCCAGGCGACTGCTGCCTGGGCCTCCACGCGCTCCTTCCTGAGCTGTGCAGGCTTGTGTGAAGTTGGAGAAAGATCGTTGCAGGTCGTTAGGGGGTGAACTGTTGGGACTGTTGGGTGGCGTGACAGTGCCTTTGCTTGTTGAACGGCAGACCTCACAACGTTCATGATTGCGTGGAAAGGCGCTAGATGACGAGGACAAACCCCGCGCACCAAGCCAACTCTCACACAGCCACTATTGACTCTTAAACCGTACATACCTGCTTCCATTTCCACACACATACTGCGTCGTAACCTTTTCCAAATCTCGACCGCAACAGTAAATCCCCTTCCCGAGACGCAAATCAGATCTCGAAGGTTGAGCGACTGCTCTCCAAAGGAGCCCCAGCACACTTGTAGGGTCGTCGCAGCATTGAGTTGCAGCCTTTGGCCAATGTTTGTCTCGGTTCCCTCAGCTTTATGAATGCCAAGTGTCTCCGACACAGCTCCATTCAGCTTCTCCTCCAGCCTCTGGCACTCGGCCTCGATCTCCGCAACCTGGCGAAAGCATGCAACAGCTTGCAAGGACAGAGACGCCGGGCATGCAGCTAACTTGCAAGTATGCATACATATGCCGTCTGTCGTCACTGCGGGTTTCCTCTCAGCACCATGGCCTTCGCCAGCACGATGGCCAAACTGGCCTCGGCCGTGTTCTTGGTGTCCGTCGCCTCCTTGACCTTGGCCATGAGCGGCGCAACCTTCACGTAGATCTTGTGATACTTGACGCAGTTGATGGCCCAGTTCGCCAAGTTGGCCGCTGCCACGCTCTTGCCCTGAGGAGGCATCAATTTGAATCCATGATCATCAGTGAAGTACATTGACAGACATACTCTCAAGTTATTACCACAAAAAAACCTTGAATGGAATCTTCATACATTGGGCCTTCATGGTGTCAAAGTTGAAGAAAGGTAGCGCAATGATGGCATCAACCTCCTTGAGAGTGTTCTCAGGGATCTCATTAGCATTGAAAGTCTTGACCTCGTCGATGAAGGCCTGCGGGTTGCTCATCATCTTCTGGGCTGCCTTCCAGTCAATCTTCTTCTTCTCGTTCCTCAGCAAGAAGGCAGCTGCCGCACAGACATCGACGCATTCTGGAGGAGGTTTGCCAAAGCCCTTCAGTTCACCGATGGAGTTCTTGTCCAAGCAATCAACCGCAGCTGCGGCCGCCTCCATGGCTGGCATGGCCTCTGAGAGCCTTGGTATGAGTGGCGGGGGAGAGGGGTGCTAAGTACTAGAAGTGAGAGCTACCAGAGTTTAACAGCAGGAATTTGTCACAGCCAGGGTACTCCCCGTCGGCCTCCTCCTGCAATGCCGCAGCTTCGGCCGCGAGCTTGCCGGTCTTCTCGGCCTCGACGTCTGCAGCCGCCTTCTCTTCTGCAGCGGTGGCAGAAGCCTTCGTTACTTGATCGATCAGGACCGCCGTGGCTGCCTTCTTCTCCTCGACTTGGACCATGGTGATCTTCAAGTCTTCCTTCAGGCCCTCCACCTTGGACTGCACTTGCTCCATGATGGCGAGGCCGCGCTCCAAGCGCTCGCAGTTCTGGCTGACCGAAGACTGCTTCTCGGAGAGCATCCTGATGTAGAAACTGATCAGTTCCAGGAAAGACTTGGGCGTGCAGTAGTTGTGCCGTCGCTCCGCCTCCAAGTACCTCTTGTTGGCTCCTTCAATGGACAAATGTACCTCGGCCATGTTGGCTGCCACCAGACCCAAAATCTCTTCATCCTGGAGATTTCCCTGGCTGACAAGCTCGACAAGGAATCTGCGGGCCACGCCGTCCAACGCATCACGGGGCCATGCCATGAACTCATCCACAACCATGCAGCTAATGAGTGCAGGGAACTTTCGGCCACGAATACGGAAATCATCACCAACCGGCGAATGGCAAAGGATGTAATGCAAATTGCGCCGGAACTTGTCGATGAAGAAACCAAAGAGTCCATCACGGTCGTCTGAATAACCTGCTCCCTTCGCAGCGTTCCGAACGCTGCCCAGAAGGCCATCATACTCCTCCCGAGTAAACAAGTCTGGGATCACCCCGCTGGAGAGCATGTCGTTGATAAACACCAGGAAACGCTCGTCAGCGATCTGCCCATCTGTCATGAGGAAAGCATGAGCGGTGCCAGGCTTGACGACTGCTTTCTTGTAGAACTCTTGCAGGTCAACTTTCAAGGCCTCCGTGCCGTAAGACTGGTTGACCAAGATGCTCAACAAATCCTGACCGTTGATGAAGGTTGACAACTTGGCCAAGGACTGCTTTCCAGACCCACCAACGCCAACCAACAGCGCATGTCCGCACGGATTGTCCGTGATCCGGCAGATTCGGCAAACATGGTTGATTGCATCATCAAAGAGGACCAAGTTCATGGCGGCATAGGTTTCGTTGTACTCTGTGAGCTTGTCCTCCACGACCTTCTTGAGACTGGGCATGTCCTTGGCTAGCAAATAGTAGCGTTCGCTGCCTGTCGCCGCCGAGACGAAAGACGTCATAATCAGAGGCTGAGCAAAGAGGTCATCCTTGGGGATGCTACCGAAGTGTTTGCCCGCAGCCTTCTCAAGGATGGCCTGCAGCTCACCCTGGTCCGAGGCATTGACCAAGCGATCAGAGAAGACGCGGTAGCATTCATGAAGCCATACACGAGCGAACTTGGACGCACCATCCTTGTAGACGTTCGCATTGGTGTTCAGCAAACCTTGGAAGATGTTTCCAACATCCTGAGAATCCAGCTTCAGGCTCCAGAACTGCACTCCAAGACGCCCGACGCACACACACACACACACACACACACACACACACACACACACACAGACACACACCCAAACCCACACGCACACGCACACACGCACACGCACACACGCACACGCACACACGCACACACGCACACGCACACACGCACACGCGCACACGCACACGCACACACGCACACGCACACGCGCACACGCACACGCTCACACGCGCACACGCTCACACGCGCACACGCGTAAACGCGCACACGCGCACACGCGCACACGCGCACACGCGCACACGCGCACACGCGCACACGCGCACACGCGCACACGCGCACACGCACACATGCGCACACGCGCACACGCGCACACGCGCACACGCGCACGCAATTCGAGGACAAGAACGCGGCACGGGTGAAATCAACTCAACTAGGGACTGTAGCTCTATAGGAGACACGGAAGCTGAGACTCACGGGGAACAACGGCACATTTACTAAGCCGGCATGCTGATTTGCACGTGCCGTCCGGTGCGATGCGAAGTGCTTCCAACCCTTGTTGTTGTAATGCTACTCTACGCTGAAGAGACCGGGCAAAGCTGCTGACTCTTTGAAGCGATCCTGCCTACGGCCTTGCGCGGACTGTGGTCAGACAATTTTTGGTGCTGAATCCATGCATCCCTAAATGTGACCACGAACGTTGATCTTGCTATTTGTGTCGCCTGCTGCCTTTTCCAGCCTGAGACCGGGGCTATAAACTGGGGCTGGACGACTCATGGCAATGTCTTGGGATATCTGTGCAGAGATCTTTCCGCATCATTTGACGTATCCTTCAGTTTTTCTAGGAGCCAGTCAGCTCTTCATACGGTGCCCCTTTTCTGTCGAGCACACATATTCTCCAAACAAGTTTGCGAAAAAGACAAGCACATGCTTCTTCTCAGCAAGGTCACACTCACACCAACTCCGTGACATGTAGTATAGCATCCTTATGCGTCTATGTACGGCTCAGTGATCCAACCAGATGTGGGTGCGCCTGACCATCATTTTGTGGGATTTCCAGGGTTTTATCCATCAGCGGTGCCTCTTCCCTTGCACCCCTGCTGTCTGACTCAATACTGGCAGGATGAGTCGCAGGAATATCATTCTTCCCATGCGTCGGCAGTCAGAACGCAATCCAAGCGTGCAAAACGCAAAGTATTTGGTAGGGGCACCAATGTGGTTGCAACTGTGGCTTTGTTCCCGCTGGCTCTTAAGCATGCGATGCAACAGTATTTATTTCCCCGTGCACAATTCTTGAAACAAGTCTCTGTTGCTGGGGATCAGCAAGAACACTACACAACCCCATGCAACCCAGCTGTCCTTCAGATTGAACTGGTAATGGAACTTGGCAGCAGACGGCAGGAAGCACGGCGTGTTCAGAATGCCCGCGACTAGCACTTCAATCGTGGCCTAGCAAAGCTCCAGGTGCGAGCGCGGAGGGCTATAGGGCTATCAGTGGGTCAGAGTGGATCAGGAGACAGGTTCGAGATCTCTGTTGTCTGTCCATGCTCGTGAACAGTATTGGCAGGGTTGGCTGACCGAATTGTCTTAAGAATCCACGTCCTGGGTCGCCCGAACACTATTGCTAACGACTCTGACGATGCTTTACTCCACTCAGCTCATCCTGCCTGCACAATTGGATCGCAAAGCTTCTGAATTGGTGGCACGAAGGCACCCAGGTGCTTCTCCTGTGCCGCAAGCAGCGCGTCCATGTGTTGGGGAGAACGTGATAGAAACCGACATCGGAACATCAGCAACCCCATGGACTATGAGCACAAGCTGATTCGAGCTTGGAATATTCGGCTCCAGAATGGAGCTGTAGATGCCCGAAATCGTAGGCGCGTTGGGTGTGAACCTTGGTTCTTCTTGCAGTTGAGTGTTCTGAGCTCAACTACACTGTGTGGAATCTGCAGTGGGCCCAATGGCATGAGAGTGGCGTGGTGAGCACTGTGAACCGCCGCTGGAGCCGTGGATTCACCATGAAGGAGCCGGCCTGACGTGACGCATGCAGCTCATGCCCACGAAAGTCCAAGTCACGTCACAACGTGTGCCCCCGGCCTTGGGATTCATGCATGCTGTGAAAAGGATGTCGACAAGATCGCGCTTGTCCTCCAAAGCTGCGCGATCGTACACCTGGCTGTAGGCCAACATCTGGGTCAGCAGCATGATTGCCGACTGCGTGTCGTAGGTGTCTACATAGGGCATGTTCAAGTCGTCGATGAAGAACACACACTTCTTGTTCGCTGGCGGCCCGAACGTTCGACCTGATCTCTTGTCCAATGCGCTCATGATGATGTTTTGCAGTGCAAAGCTGCTTGTGTAGTTGTTGTTGTTGATCGACATGCTGATCATGTCCTCGTTGTTGGCCTTCATGTCCGCAAGGTAGTCCTTCACAATGGTCGTCTTTCCAGTGCCTGCAACACCGACGAAAAGCACCGGCTTTTTCCTGGCCACATGCAGCTCCAGAATGTACTTCATGCGCTCCAACTCCATGTTGCTGATGACAATGTTCTGGTACATTTGCTCCGCCAGCGGCTGGTACGGCTTGATGTACGTCTCCCAGCTGACCCAGTCTTTGGCTTTTGGCTCGTAGATGAAGTCGTAGCAATCGCCCTGGTCAGGGAAGCGAACTGCCTTCGAGAGACCCTTCATGTACGCATTGAAGCTCTTGCGGTAGTTCACCGTCTTGTCATCTGCAATGGAGCCGCCGATCGTCCACATCATGGCATAGCAGAAAAGGGCATCATAGCTCATTTTCTGATCCTCTGGACTCATCGTGCGTAGCGCCTCCATGTTTTCTTTGGTGTTGTTGTTGAGCAGCGCATCGATGAAGCAAGTGAGGCTGTTGATGAAGCCCATGTCCAACATTGGGCACGAAAAGTTGAACGACTTGCGAATTGCCTCGATGTTGGCCTCAAAGTAATTTGAGAAATGCAGGTAGAAGGCTCCTTGTGGGATCTGGTCCAACTTCTCACGCCAACTCTCCACATACGGCTTCCAACCAATGTCCGTCTCATTGATGAACAACACGCCACCACGAGACACGGTAGCAGGACTTGCATGCTTCATATCTTGGATCTCTAAGATCATGCGCATCGTAGGCGTGAACGGGATTCGCTCGTTGGACACCAGCGTCAAGACTTTGTTGTCATCCATGACCGTGTTCATGGACTCGATCCATGTCGCATCAATGTCACCATCTAAGATCACCCACTTGTGTTGATGCGACGCTTTGTACCCATTCATTTCTTTGCCTCAGTTCGCTTGTGCAAAGGAATCTCTGTCGCAAGCCACAGGCACTTGCAAGGTTCTGGCTCTAAGTGCAACCATGATCGAAGCATGACAAAACGAGATGGACGCCAAGCTTCTCATGTTGCGGAAAATCACGGCAATCAAGCCATCTTTCCACTCCTCAAGAGTCACTCGAGCGATGCATCTTAGAAGAGCGATGCATCTTAGAAGCACTTTGTGTTGCAACAAGCTGCTGCGTCCATCCAGCTGTGGTTGCACAAACACGATTTAAAAAGCAGTTTATCTATCTATCTCTCAGGATGCTGGAACACATTCTCTCTAATCGGCGAATCCCAGAAGTCCTTCGTCTTGGACATTGTGCCGTACAGCTCGTCACTGGTTACTGCTTTGGGGTTCGCTTGCTCCCACTGCCTCAGTGGATGGTGCACGCACCCGGCAAAACTGCGCAGTGGAGCAACAAAGGGAACGTGCTGTTTCACAACTGTTTCAAAACTGCCGCGGCTGCCAGAAGGCCGAGCAACCCATCCTCACCCCGCGCACGCAAGGCTTCCATGAGCGTCTTCCAGACCTCTGTCTTGCCGCAGCCTGATGGCCCGATGATGAACATGCAGTGTCGCACGCCAAGAATACCCAGCATACCCACGATCTTGATGATGAACTGCCGGTCTTCCTGCAAGCCCCTCTGCTTGGCGATGTTGCAGCAGAACTTCTCGAACTCAGGATCGCTGAAAGGATCCGGCCAGACACCAGGAAACAAATCCATGATTAGCCGGAGAAAGATGGGCATGTCCAGCGTGGTGATCTTGGGTGTGTTGAAGTCTCGGAGGGCACGGCACAGCACAGGGTTCTCATCACTGTCAGGCTCTAGGCGCTTCAGTGTGCCAGCCTGTCGCAGCAGCGACTTCACGGCGCGCAGACCCCAGTCGTAGTGCATCTGCTTACTCAGCAGTTCCTTGCACAAGGAGTACAGCTGGACAAACTTGTTTGCCAGTGGCCGCGCCTTGATGAAACCTTCGGACATGAGCATGTTCTCACAGATGAACCGAAGATCCGGCACAATCATTGCCACCGAACGGAAGAGTGCCTTCAAGTTCTCAGGCAACTCTGTTCGCCCAGCATACCCAGGGTTCATTGTGATGAAAGCCCCGCAAGTCGAGATCAGCTTTGTTTCCTCCTCTGCGAAGAGGAAGACCTGAACTTGTGCCCGAATCGCATCCAGGATGCATTTGTACTGGGTCGATACCACCGACAGAACCTCGATTGAGATTCGGTTGAACTCATCGAAGCAGCCCCAGCAGCCTGTCTGAGCAATGCCCATGAAAATCTGGGCCATGGTCTGATATGTCATCTGGTCACTGCAGTTGAAGACCACGATCTGCAATCCAAGTGCGCGGGAAAGGTCCTTCGTGGTCTCGGTCTTTCCAGTGCCTGCAGGGCCAGCCGGCGCTCCTCCCAATGTCAGTCCCAATGCCTGGGTCAACGTGATGTAACATCGATCCGTCAGCGGTGTGATCACCAAGCGTCCACAGTTGCCCACGTACTCATAGCAGTAGATGGTGGTCCAATCGCAGATGCGAATCACGCACGTCTTCAGGTCATCCGGGGTGTAGCTGACCAGGTTCTGGCCCTGCGGACAATAGTTCCAATGAAACCGCAGCTGCGAGAGCCATTTGAAGTTCGTGTTGTCCGAAATCTTTGCAATTGCCATCTGCTCAACGATGTCGCGGCCGTGGACGTCAATGGTAATCAGCGTAATGATTTTGTTACGCACGTCCTTGCTCAGCTTGGTCTGCACGCGCTTGATGAGCTTCTCAATGCGCTCATCATTCACGCGCTTGTAATCCTTCATGGCTGTCTCACTCCCGCTCTCGATCTCCTCGAAGACCCGATTCGTCTCCTCTGTCCACATGATCTGGGTAGCCACCAAGGACAGCTGCGAGCAGTAGGCTTCCAACCAGAACCTTGGCTCTATAAACTGATGATCGCAGAAACAAAAAGCCTGGCAGCCCCCAAATACACTCCCGCCCCAGTACCGAAATTATCAAGGACTTGCTTTAAGGCGGTGACTCTCGGGGGTTGTCCAGCTCCCAGTTGTCAGCAGTTGCCCGCGCCTGTTAAACTCAAGTGGGTGACCACAACGACCTTCTCTCCAACAGAACCATTTGCTTGAAACAAACCTATCGTATTCTTGGTCAACCTAGAACTTCCATGCAACTGCTTGCAGAACTGTCTGCATCCCTCTCCGTTGCATGCCCCAGAGTCACCTGCTCCAGCTCGATGCGCAGCTGGAGGCGGAGATGGCCCTCCAGCTGCAGAAGGTAGCCCTGCAAGTGGGGGTCTCACTTGCAGACGAAGGCCACGCACCAAACAGGGTACCCGAACAAGTGCATGTGGCTGGACCATGGCTTGACGCAGGGGAGGTGGGGCAGTGGCAGGATGAGGATTGGGGAGGAGGAGATGAGGGGGGGGGGGGGGTGGAGATCAGAAAATGCGTGCCCATCTCCCGTGTATTACACCACAGAAACTCTCTCGGTCTCTTTCTTCTAAGCAAGGACAGGCCTTCCCTCTCCTGTCTCGCTCGCTCATGGTTGAAAAAGCCAAAGCAAAGGTCTTCGAAGTGGGGGGGGGGGGAGACTCGTTCTAGTGTACTGCCCTTAAGGTAGCAAGTGTTGCCAGCATTGTTGCTTGCCCTCCCTCTTGCCGTTTTTTAACGGCTGCTGTTATGTGGACTGGCGAGTGCCATGCCTGACATACTTGTGGCGGCTACCTGAGCACAACAGACTGCCTGGAGAAGTTGTGCCCGGCGGGTTGTGTGAACAAAGAGTGCACCACAACAGTTAGCTAGGCATGTGTTACAATGGCTTTCGAAATCCAAGTCCTTGAAATCAGCTGCAACCTCGAAAAGCAGCACATTTCTCAGATATGATCCTGTTGAAATCTACCACAGCGTTTGACAGGCAGGGAACCATGCAGGTTGGCTGGTCGGCCAGGTCTGGCCGACGCAACAAAACAAGAATGCTTGAAGTCAAGAACACCATGGCCTCCACAGCGCCATCGATGTGCATGTCTTCTGCCCAAGCCACTTTCTCGGTGTCTTTTGAAATATGGCCACAGGCGATTCCTCATTTGAAACTGCAGTGGGACCAAATAAACTGGATTGGCATGGCATGTCGAGATGCTGAGAGTACACTGGCCTGCGTTGCCAGGTAATCGCACGTTCTCGCTGGGGGGAACTATGAAGCTCTTGGAACATTCTGGAACATTGTGGCAGCCGGGATTCTTCCAGTGTCCGGAGCTTTGGAAAAGTCCAAGGTCTTCACGCCATCAAAGATGTCACCCAAGTACTCCGCAACCTATACTCAAGACGGCTGGGGTAGACATGGGGTGCACTTTGAGCACAGCTTGCGTTTGGATGCTGTTAAACTGTACCCATCTATTGCGGACACGCTAGAGTCTGCCGGAGGCTTGGTGTGCAATGTCCCCCAATGGCCTTCAACGGCTTGGCGCCGTTGGAGAGGATGTCCAGCAGGGCCTGGTTTGCCACGAAATAGAACCGTGGGAAGGCCTTCTTCTTCTGCTCCAAGTACCTCATGCCGGTCTGCAGAAGTTCAGAAGTAAAGGAAACAATTGCGGGGCTCTGGCTGCAAAAAAAAACAAAGGACCACAAGTTCAAATATTCCTACTTCGCTTGCAGCAACATGATTTGCTCTTGATATACGGGGCCCCAATTTGAGACAAGCATGGGAATAATGGGCAGTCCCTCACCCCCACCAGAAGGTGCTCTGCAGACTGTGATCTGCAGGCCAAGAAATTTAATCAAGCGAGTCATGGATTCAGCGTTTGGGGCAGCAGTGCCGCACTTCGAACACATGTGGCCCTAACCTGTGCGGCTGCGGCACTCGTTCAGAGCCTTCTCGCATGTATCGATCCCCTCGGAGATCGCCCTCAGGTTGGCTTCGCGCCTCGGCAAGCATGAATTTGACCAACTGTCGCTCTGCAGAACGCCGCAACATGATACCGAGTACGTTTAGCCGAGGCCACCCCTCCGCACAGCAAATTTCCACAATCAGCGAGCTGTTCGAGGCATCCATCATCAGCTCCTGTGGTACACAGGACACAAACTGTGCCAGCCCGAAAGCTGAAATCCACTGGGGCTGCGGAGCCTTCCATGCTGCATCCATCTGCTCGAAGCGCTTGGAATCGTCTGGCAGCTGTGACCGGATGTCGGCACTCTGCCTCGGCTTCGTGATCTTCGTGTTTCTCTTTGGTCCAAGACGAACATTTTTCCATTCGAGTTTGGCCAGTTTGGCCAAGATGCATGAAGATGGGCTCCAGTCGGCACCAGTTGGCTTGCACCTTGGTCCACACGCTGAGGGCCCCATCAATGGCGCGCAGCTTGCCGCTCCACTCGTCGACCACCGGCTTGCCTGGAGGAGAAAGGTCCCGTGAACAAAATGTGACAATCAGGGCAGCGAATGCAAACTTGACATCTCAAATTCTACCGAGGAGCAGAACTCGATGAAACGGCCTTGTGAGGTCATGCCCATCATCTCTAGTGAGTCACTGTCCAGCTTCTCGATCACCTCTCCTTGGCCAACACAAGCAAGCCCAGTGCCCAACACAGTGCCTCTCACGACATTCGTTTTGGATACGCGGAATGTGAACATTGCGAAGCAGATGCATCCCCGCAGGCCAAGGTTCCAAGTTCTCCGAGGAGCGGGCAGTCGGGATTGGAGCAGTCAAAAGACACCGGCATCTTTGACCAGGTGGCCCGGATAGCAGAAAGCTTCTTCTCGATTTTGGCCTGCAGCTGCACACGGAGTTCATTCAACGCGAAACGCCTCACAGCTCGCACTATATACTTCTTGGAATGGTGCAACTCCAACACAGCCTCCCTGCCTCTTTGACACTCTGGTCAACAACCTCCGAGACGTCCTCCGCGAACTCATGCAGCTTGAGGTCAAGGAGGTCCTGGAACATGGTCAAGAAAGTGGCTTGTCTCCAGCACGCGCTCACAACTGAGAAGGTGGGTCATCGGACCCAAAAACCACGAAACCACTAAACCACTACGAAGTCCTTGAAGCAGAACTCCGGGCCCTTCTCAAACGTTTTCTGCGTGATGGTCATGATGCTTGTCCAGTGGCGATCGCGCATGGTTTCGCCGTGCAGATCGTTGACCTTGCAGATGGCACCAAGCAAGTCGAGACAAACAAACCAACTTCCCCTTAGAAAAGGAAAAGGAAGATGCTGACTCTTCACAGCCAGAATGCCAGAGGCAGCACCGTGGCCATGTTCTTGACCTCATCTGTAAGCCATCGGTAGAGCTGCCAGCCCCTGATCTGCTTGGGCATGTTCTTGACCTCTCCCAAATGTCCCGACAGAATTGCAGGTGCGTCTTTCTTCTTGTCGTTCATCGATCTTACTCACAGGTCTTTGTCGGGAAAGTGCGTGGGCAAAAGAGGCTGTGATGGTTTCCTGTGGTTTTTGTGGACGGCCCGTTGAAAAATGGTCTCGTGATTCGTCCCCTTTCAGTGGGTTGAGGCTCCTCTCTTCCTGTCTCTGGTGGTGGAGATTGGTGATTGCGGGGATCGAGCATCTCCGACCCACATCATAAGCAGACTGAAGCGTCTTTGACGCATGTCAAGCGATCCGGGAACTGCATCAATCCTGCCACAATCACCCGCACGAAAGCTGCCAAAGCACGTGCCTCTCCCCGACCCTTGGAAACCAAACTTGCAAACAGCTTGCATGGGCAAGGCTCTTTCTTTGCCGGTTCTCATGTTTTCTCATAATTTGCCAGGTGAAAATCGATTACACCGGCACTGAAGAGGCCTGGTTCTGAAGATCGCGGGCTTGTTGGACCAGGGAGTCCGTGTCGATCTTATCCCAAAGAATGCTGTTCCAGCTCTCGAACGTCTCTTTCACCTTGGCTCCGTCAGTTCGCAATGTCATAGAAGGTGAACATAGGTGAACTATCCCGAAATACGCATCCTGAACAATACCCACGACCCCTCCCATGGGGCGCACACCAGCGTCACACCATCCCAAAGGTTCTTCAACAGAATCAGCTCTTCCTGGCAGTCCTGGCGAAAGGATTGTGATTGGGAGATGCTTAGTTGGCCAGGATATGTGAGGTGATGTGAGGTGATGTGAGGTGGCTTCGGATCCTTCAGCTCTCGGTAGCTGGACATCTGCATGTCGAAGAGCAACTCCAGGTCCTCCAACCCCAGATCGAATGACGGCTTCTTTTGGTCTCTTGCAACTGAAGCATCTGAAGCATGCTGGCTTGACCGGTGCAATGTATAACCCGATTCAACACCGTGATTGTAATGTCATCACTCCAATGGGTCGACATTTCATAGCTTCAGCTAACGAGAAACGCAAACTTCTGTGACAATGCCAAGAGGCATTGAACTCATTGGCACGTTGCCGAATGGCCAGGGTCTTGTTGTAGTACCTTATTTGAGGATCCGTCCCCCCCGAAAATCTCCTCATGCTCTCGCGCTGATTAATCGTAAATAGGCTGCTCGTTCATGGTCTCGTAGCTCAAGTCATAGTCTCCGCCCACAGCATTCGCAGGGTCGAATGGGCACTTCTCCCGGAACTCGTGGCAGAAACCTTGAAGTTCCTCTGCGAAAACATCGATCTTGTTTCGGATCTTCAGAACTTCTTCCTTGCCCGCAAGGAAGGCACGGCATGTACCCACAAGTTAGCCATACAAATAGGGTGCTAGATGGCGCAGCAGCAAAGCTGCATGCAAGCTGCATGTGGCTCAACCGCATTAAAGCATTCTAAGCCCACAAGGATGCTGCTACACCAGCAGCGCAACAGCAACTTGGGCCTCTTCGCAAAAGCAAGTACACTCCCATGAACCAGCCAATCAGGCCACCAAGCACATCACAGCAACAGCAGCCGTTTGAGCTACAGTTGCTCTGAATCCAAGGGTCACTCTGCAAAGGTAGAATCTGCTCCTTCACATCAAAGGCCATGCGGATAACTTCGTCCCATTTGTTGGGTGCCTCGGCAAGGCAGAACGAGCTTCAACAGAGAATGCAGCGAAAAGCAGATACTGAGTCGGAAGAACACGTGTGTTTCTTGGAGCACGAGTTGCCTGGTCAAGCTCAGTGAGGCCATCATGATTCACGTGGTGCTTTTTCAAGAGCTGACACAGGTCCCTGATTGGTGGGAACAGCTTCTTGACCGCATTTGTAGCCAGCTTCACATCACGGATGTTGGTCATGGTCGAGTACCTCAACCGGTGTCCATGCCCTCCTCTGAAACATCCTGGAGGGCTTACTTGAAGCCGAAAGCACAGCCAAGCTTAACTCCAAGCTGCAGCAACTTCTCATTCTCCGGCTCATCCACCGGCGAGGGAGGGCCCAAACCTTCCTGCTGCTCGTTGATGAACTTGACCAGCGTGCGGATCCGCTCCTTTCATGGTCAGACGGTTCCACCCTGCGCGCATGCTATGAGCCCTTATGGACTTTATGTCTTGTCGGCATTGGCAAGAACATTCCTCCGTGAAGCTCTTGATGAAGTCCACATACTTCTCCTCCCACTGTCGAGCGAAGGAAACCAACTTCAGCTTCACAGGCTGCGCTCCTGCGTCGAGCAGCGATTTGAACAGGCTGTGCTAAGAAAAGCTGATCCAAGTCTACCAGTACTAATTCCTGAAGGTGCAATTGCTTGCGGACTGCCAGGACCCTTGAGAATCCTGATCTGGTTCGGAAGATGGCATACTACCTTTCAGACCCCAGACTAGCAGCCGTGCCAAGGTACCCACACGAAGCCAATGGATGTCCACGGGCGTCTTCATGTTGGATAGATCCTGCATGGGCCATACTTGCATCGGGACTTCATTGCCTCTCGGGGGCAGTGTTCAAACCTCCAGGACGTGAAATGAATGAAATCCAGAATCTTTGTTCTTGCAGCTATATACTGGAGATGCTTGACCTTCTTATACAACTAGCTCCAGTAATTGTTTTCTCCGTCCCGCCACGGAGCACGGAATGGGCATCTTCTTTTGGCTCCAGAGCTACCCCTCTTGTCTGGAACCACTCCAGAGACATATGTTCTTTCCCATGAATCTGTGTAAGCTCTCCCTCCGTGTTGGGCCTTCTCAGTTTTCCGCGAGGCAGCAGGCAATCGGTGCTTCCTTTTTTAGTTCCAAAGCTACATGCAGCCCCAGGAATCAGCTGAGTCTAGGGAAAAGTCTTTTATTCTGCTAGAATCAGCTGAACCATGGGATAAGAACTTTTTGCATGGGTCTGGGTAAGCTCTCCCTACGGCCTCGTCAGATGTTCAGTGTTTGCTGTGTTCTGCGAATAGTTTCGCGGGTCTTTTCCAAAACAATGAACGCGGTGATGTGATTGCATTCTCAGTGTCCCGCTAAGGAAAGGCATTCAATCAACATCGGACAAACCAAAAGAAAGCCATTAGCATCATTAGCTTCAAAAGCGAGCGGAGGCAACTAACTCCAGAGGTGATTGTCTCCCCCGAAGCCTTCGAAAAGCAATTGAATCAACAGCTAACTCCCCTCAAAGGCCATTAAACAAACCCAGAACAACC